TGCTAAAGTGGACTTGATAGTATCCACCTACTTACTGGTGCTAAATGAGAGTGGTAAACCATTGTGAGGAATTAGGTTAATTATTTACAGTAGATGATTAGGGTTAGGAATTAGATTTAGGATTTTCTTCACAAATTGACATCAGCAATAATGCCAAAACGCTATTTAGTCAAATGAATAAATGAATTTCGTGCCAAAATCCAGGACTCCTTACCTTATATCTGATTGGTTCAAACAAAAGTTATAGTCTCACAGAATTGTCAGCACAAATATATACTGGTGGAATATTTTCCAGTTTAATAACCACTTAAAATATGAAAAATATACCACTCAAGGGAGCTCAGCTGAAAAATTAATTTTGCTGCTCTGAAATCTTTTAAAATCACAGAATATATATGATGTAAGAATCCCGAAACAATCACTTCTGGTTTCTCGCAAAGAGAATATGACGAGCGAAATGTGTCCGTTACAATGATGGTTCTGATTGAAATCAAAGACCAATTTTCTTCGTCAAAGGTTGTAAAATTTCTATCAAAGCAATTAGGTAACTTAGGCAGTAAACACACATGATTAATTAGTTGAAATATGTAGATAAACAAATCATTTCTTGTGATATTTACAAAGAGAGTCCAAGAAGTTTGACCAGAAATGCAATATTCTAATCTTGAAATAAAATAGCACATTAGTGAATATGAACTCGAAACTTCAGAATAATAAAAATGGGTTAAAACAGTTGTGTTTCAGTGACTTTAACCATCTTGCTGATAAAGCTAAGTAAACCCCTTGTATTTGACCAAAGGTTAAAGTTTCCTATTTCAAAGATTCCTGAAATTCATTGCACAAGTGACATTCTGTGGATTTCTTTAATGAATTCACTCACTAGGCACTTGGATATAAACCATAATCTAAGTGTGATGGATAGAGATACTATCTAGTTACTCAAATCAAAGTAACTAAAACATGGTTCGAGCCTGAGACTCAGTGATAGAAAGTTGGGTGCCATAGCTACTAGATCACTCCTCAGTTCTACCAGACAATGTGCTTAATATTACTGTTTTATTAATAGGTGGTTTTATAAGTTTGATATGTCAACATAATTCCATAAAATATGTGAATTAAAGAAAGAAAACTATCTGTGTAATCTCGTCTCAATGACAACAAAGTGATATTTTATGTTCTACACTTTTTTCATAGTTAACAACGTTTATATCTTAAGATTTTATTGCACTATGCAGTTTGATGTGTAAAAATCTTTTTTTATAAAAATAAAAAGAATAACGAACACACCTGTTTGTTTGAAATGATTTCAACTTTTCTAAATGGTTATTACCAAACGAGCTTTATATCTCAGTAATGAATAGTACTTCGTTTCATTGTATTATTTTCGTTGAGTGATTTTAACTACTGATAAATAAATCAGTAGCAAGTAAATCTTATTACCGTTTATTTCATTTTATTATTTTCAAGAGTATTTAATCATACTATGTGAATTTATTCATTTCTTCCGTCACATGTGATTGCATTCCATAACTGTTTTTTGCTCATTTATTTGTAGTTTTATTAGCCTTAAGTATGACGGTTATTATTTCTGTTTAATTGTTGGGAATTAAATACACTGGTGAATTTTGTTAATGATCATAGTTCTACATCTCTAATTTGTATATATGCTGTTTATTTCCATGTCAGTACCCTGATTTTCTTGGTCAGTTAACCAATCCTGTGTGTACATAGTAAGCTAGATTCCCTGTAAGAATGCTAGTGTGTTTTGTACAATAGTTGTTATTAGTGATTAGATCCTCTCCAACACTCACTAGGTGGATTCAGATGTATGTTGTTCACCTCACTGAAATCGTAATGCCATTTGAAAATCAATAAGATTTTGGACGGAATAATTTAATAAACGTTGGGTAGAAGTGATATCGGTAAAGTAGTAATTCCATTACGTTGTTGAAATGAATTATCGATAGGTATTAAAAAATAGGCCTTACTAAACCTAACTGATTAAAGCTTTTGTGTTATAGTTATATCTGAATATTACAAACCCAAATTCAGATATTATGTAATATAATCAATCAGTCAGTCAGCTGCAACGTAGGATCAGACACATATGTGATAGAATACGGAATAATTATTCCATTTCTATATATCTCAACAATGGAAAAATGCTGGCATTTCAACAAATAGAACCAGGTGAATACAAGTGTTTGTTTATACAGTGAGTTTATGGAGATTGTTGAGTTTCAGTAGTTTCTTAACTAAGGCTAATGTTGGGACGACTTTCGAAAAGCGTGATAGAGCCTCCAGAAGCCCCAAAGGAGCCAAAAAGTTTCCATCCAATCAGAATCTGATTGAGCTTTCTAGTTTGTGTGACGAAAACAAAAGGAATATCCAATCGAATGAATCCAACTATCAAACATATACAATGAAGTTCATTAGTTCTCCTTCTCTGTTGCGTAAATAAACTATTCAATATCCAAATATTTAAGATACAATAAATATCTGTCTAATATTACAAGTGAAATTTCATACTTTTTCATCAAAAACTCTTCATTATACAAATAAATTGCATTTGTTCTTCAGATATTTACAATACATAGAATTGATAGTAAGAATGGATTCATATTGTTTCTATTATAAAAGCACCATATAGGATTTCGATGTACTAGCTTGCACTTAAATTAATATAATTAAAAGGTGTCCATTTCCTAATACATTAATTAACAAAACTCTATGCATATGAACAATCTTATTAGATATACTTATGAACGGCTTGTAATTCATAAACACCTTGCTAAAACATGTATTTGCTCGGGAATCAATGGATGAACACACGGATTTCTTTATAGATTATAGATGTTACTTGTTATGTATTTATTTGTCTATTCTTCTAACAATTATACTCGATGTATGTTTGTTGAATAACTTCCGTACTAACTCTAATAATTTCGATTTTCAGAAACAGAGAGAAGATTAAATGCCAATCTCAAGTAAACAACTACTGAAAACTAAGAGATTGGATAACTATTTTGTTTTAAAATGGAACTCTTCAGTAGTGGATATCCACGATCCATCAAGGATCATGTCCTCACTAGTGGCGTAATTTCAGGAGTTCTAGTGAAGAGTTATGATTAGTAGAGTTCAGTGATATAAGTTGAGGCAGCTATACATAAATGGCACTGGAAGATAGCTGAAAAATATCATTTGTAAATAGATGATGTGTCAGTGACCTTAACGGTAAGTGATGTGAAACCTAAAGGTCCTGGGGTTTGATCCTCGGTAGAACTATTAATACACACTGTTCGAATGTCCCATATTAGGACGATAAGATTCTTCAGTGCTTCCTGTTGTTCAGTAGTTATCTAAGATGGGTCCGTGATATAAACCATAAAATTCAATAGTCTCCACTATACTAAATGCAAAGTTATATTTGTCGTAGTTACAGATTAGCACAGATTCTGGCTGGCGATCACGAAGAAATACGCTCAAATAATACATTTTTAGGCTGAATAAATCTTACAGTCTTAAGTTATGCAACTAGTGAGAAACTGGTGACTAATAGATTTCTTTTTGATGCACATGTTAATTCTACAGAACATGGTACGAATAATAATTATAATCTTGTTATTATCATGACACATCATGTGACAAGCCGTAAAATTCCTAACCCGTAAGCTTTACAACATATGACCTGTCTTTTGCTCACCGAGCAAACTGTATCAGTCACGTCGTAATCCAATGACCCTATATCTAGTCGCTTAGTCTAATGAATAAAAAATCAAACCAAAGTTTGCCACCACACAGAAATTTTTTAGATTGTAATAATGAAATCTACGTGTTAATTTTGCTGGAGTCAACATTTGTAAAACAAAAATTAATGTAAAGTTGAAGTATTTATTCATTGTTGAAATGTGTTCTGGGCAATAAATATATGTCGTTGTCATGTACGGTAACCATTTACTTCGACGAATGATGCTTACTAACATAGAATTAGTTTGAAAATATGAGGGCAAGCAAATCAAGGTCTTACGAAATTCGTCGACTGCTGATTTGATCCTGTTTAGGTTGGTATAGACCACCTTCGTTAATATTTGTTTGTTCATCATGATTACCAGTTGGAGACGATTGGTGAAATGGTTCAGAAGCCTTCATAATCGAGTAGATCTATTCACTACTTGTCTTTCCTGAGACATAAAGTTACAAAATTATCTTATTTTTTTCAATTTGTGAAAACATTCTTTTCAAATCATATTATCGATGCATAATGTTTTCCATTATTAATAATGATATTGTTCATACTACTTATACTACTCTGACAGTTGTCTGACTGTGTTAATGTAACATAAGAACTTCAATCAATGTAAATATGTCACAGGTTGAAATCATGAGTCAATTGAAGCTAGACCACCATCGAAAACTTGGAAGCACTGGACGGCCGTTTCGTCCTAGTATGGGACTCCACAGCAGCGCGCATCCACGATCCCACACCCGCGGGATCCGAACCCAGGACCTACTGGCTTCGCGCGCGAGCATTTAACCATTAGACCACTGGGCCGGCGCCCAACGGCGTTAATGTCTAACTTCAACCAATCCACGATCTTGCGCCACCGTACACCATTGTCTTCAGCGAGCTCATATCTCACAACAGACCTGGTTGAACTCCACTGGTAACGGCTTCTCACTAGAACTCCAGTGCTTCCAGGTTTTCCATGGTGGTCTGGCTTCAATTGATTCATGATTTCAACCTGTGAAATTTCTAAAAATCTCCACAAAACCCAGTCTGATAATGTAGATATGTGTCAGGTTCTACATTACATTTATAACTAACTGACTGATATACGTGTATATAAAATTGGTTATGTAAAGCAACTTTATTAAATCATTAGTGAAAATAAATAATTAAACCTTCCAATACAGTGAAAAGCATTTTAAGAATAAAAAATTTGAAGGAAAAAAGATCAAATAAACAAGCATAATAATAATAATAATAATAATAATAATAATAATAATAATAATAATAATAATATAGTGATCACTAATTGATATGTGAACAAAAATTGTGAAAAGGAAAGTGGTGAATACACCACATACACTATGGATAAAAATTAAAAGAGAAACAAACAACGCAACTACACAACATTATCAATTATAATCAGGTGATCAGTGGTTCTTTTAATTTGCCAAAAAACAAGGGGGGGAGAAGGAAATTACTTGCGAAATAAAAAGAAACAATAATGTATATATCAAAGATAATTACGGCTTGTTATACAAAAGAAAGAAACACTTCTTATTGTATTTTAAATTTTTAATGGCATAAAAAGAAAAGAATCAAAAGTGTACTTTCAATGAATTTTTGTATTGTTTTTTTTTTTGTATTTGTCTAACATTCTTTTTCTCTTGCATTAACTATTCGCTTCTTTGACACTATCATCAACATTACAACTAGTGGAATGACCGACCATATTATTACCACCTTCTAATTCAGCTAATATTTCCAATTCTAATTCTTCATCAATTTCATCTGTTACAGATAGATCATCATCATTGTTATCATTATTATTATTAATTGGATGAATAGAATTATTCTCTGATTTAGTTAAAACAAGTTCATCCACTTCACGAGCAATCTCTTCTTCTAATTGTTCTTCCAATGTTTTAGCTATAAATGAATGTTAATTTTTAGAAAAAAAATAATAATAATGAGACAAAATATAAAACAGGATTTCAAAAAGGGAATGAATGAATAAATGGGTAGAGAAAAGTGAGAAACTTGGAAAATTAGTTACTTGATGAGCAATTTGGAGAGAGAGAGAGAGAGAGAGAGATGAATGAAGTACTTGGAATTATTTGAAGGACAATGATTACATAATTAATATCAGATGGGTTCTGTGGATATTATAGTAATTTCACTGGTTAAGATCATGAGCACTGGACGGCCGTTTCGTCCTAATACGGGACTCCTCAGCAGTACACATCCACGACCTCAGCCCCTGCGAGACTCGAACCCAGGACCCACTGGTTTCGCGCGCGAGCACTTAACCACTAGACCACTGAGCCGGCATCCAAAGTGAGAGAGATGAATGGAATAATTGGAATTATTTGAAGGACAATGATTATATCATTGTTTATTGTGTATTTATTAAATAATTGGTTTATGATATTTATCTTTTATTGTATTTCCCTTATTGTATTCATTTGTTTCATTCATTAATTGTAATTACACGTTTTACTGATCAAATGAATTGATCTAGGAGGCAATACAAAGAGGTTTACATTTATAACTACTCTGGGATATATGTATATGTATATATATACCCAGAATGTAGTACTGGTTGGCGACCTATACTCCTACAAGAGCGGTAATGCAATATAGTCTTTTACTAATTGTAAGTTTCCATTTAACTCAGTAACGACTGATTTCTGTTTAACTGTTACAGCTACTACTATTTTCTGATATATGATAAAGTAATTAAAATATAATTGGTCACTGAGTGTGAACAAACAAACACATAGCCCATTGACTATTGTTTAGTCTATACTCTGATTCTCTATTCTGGTTCGTGAATCCTAGATCTAATATAACGTGACTAGACTCATTATCGTATTATCGTAGTGCATTTGATAAATATGTTTAAACCATCCGTTATATCGCTTTCATTATTGTATAATAAATGACCTGACTCTGTAGAGATTCAGACTTCTTATTTATAGGGGTACGTTAAGGCATTTTAACTAGTCTAAAGAATACATGATAAATAGGGGTTATTTCTTTTGTAATTCAAATTGGACAGGATTCGAATGGGGCTAATCGGTTTTAAATATATACATTGTAGCTGTGTATCATAGGCATTAATATGTTATCGGTATAAAGGTACTCGTAATTACAATGAGGGGGGATAAGCAAAAAGATTGCTCGCGCGCGAAGCCAGTAGGTCCTGGGTTCGAATCCCGCAGGGGGCGGGTTCGTGGATGCGCACTGCTGAGGAGTCTCATACTAGGACGAAACGGCCGTCCAGTGCTTCCAGATTTTCAATGGTGGTCTAGCTTCAATTGACTCATGATTTCAACCTGTGAAATATATAAAATTGTTTTAATTAGTAAATTACTTAATCCTACTTCTCTCAATAGAAAAGAAGGCATTATCATACATCTTACTTGGACCATCTATCCTAACTATTCAGTCTGATCGTATTTACAATTTCACACTATCATATTACAAATTTAAACTATATCCTTTCTTACCATAAAGGTCACACAAGTTTTCATTCCTAAACAATGCACACACAAATTTATATACTTATGAATTACCTTGACCGAAATGACATGACATTAACTTGTTCAGACCTGTTTCTGATTGATCACATATTATTATTCTTGCATTGTTCCGTTGTACTATTTAAACTTGGACTAATTTTAATTTGGTTATTTATTCTCTGAAGAAGTGACTGACACTAAGTCATGAAACGTCAGAAAATCTCATTTTCTACTCATTGGGATATTACAAATATATTATTTTTATTTATACTTTGTAGTCAGATCAAACTATCTAAGTTCAACCTCATCGATTAAATTGAGGCGATTGATTTAACCGATGTGATTTGCTTTATTCACACGTTTGTGTTTATCACATGATGTGATCAGTGTTTCTGAGAAATATCTATAACATAAATTCGTACAGAGTGATCAAAATGCTAGTAGGATTCAAATGAAAAACTAGACAAACAAATCTCATCTATACTGATATTACAAACTGGATTGACTTTAACCGTGGAACAGCAAAACTATCTAAAGAACATTGAACTAATTTCCACAACTAACCAACTAACGAATTACACATATGTGTCACCAACATACCAGTTGTGATACGCTGAACCGATCAGATGAAAGTCAAATGATAAATGAAAAATGTTAACGGACGTGCGCTATTGGTCAATATTTGGCTTGAAGAAATAATTACATGCTACTAGTTGAAAATTTGGTTTAATTTTGTGAAAGAGACAAATATATATTTATGGATGAATTATGCATATATTTTCTATTAGGGTTACTCAATAAAATCTTCTTAATCAACTAACTAGTTTGGGCACGACCACGGAACACAATGGGTTGTTTTACTAACGAACATCAATAAAAACCGTCAGAACACTAATTACACCGGTGACAAAAACCGATAATCAATCACCATGACAACCACAGACATGAAAGCATTGATTGAATGAATACATTACAATGTAGTACAAGTCACGTCGAATATATAATTTATATACTTATAAACTATATAATCAGTATAATAAAGAATAAATCTCAATGAATTATAATCGATAGAGAAGTCATATGGACTATTATTATCATGTGGATCAAGTAATGTTTCACAGTGAGATAATAGAAATAAAACTGAAGTAGATATAAGTTAATATGTTATATAGTTTAACTCCGCCTGTAGCTATTCTAAAGTTACTGCCGGTCCCAAGCCCGGGTAAAGGAGGAGGGTTGGGGATGGGGTTAGCGACCCCATCCCGTAGAAAACTAACTCGCTAAAAAACGCTTACCAGAAAAAATAATCCAAACCATTTTAACTCTGCCCTGGGAGTTAGAAGGTCTTCATTTAGAAGAATTATGACGCTTCATGGTGAAAGCCGAGTTCCTTCGGAAGCCACGAGGCCGGTGCCCCTTCTAACAACCAGAGCAAAAATTTTTATAGGTACATGGAACATCCGAACAATGTGGGAAACCGGGAAGACCAGTCAAATAACAACGGAAATAAGGAGATACAATTTGGCAGTACTGGGAATAAGCGAAACTCATTGAACCCAAGCTGGACAACAAAGGCTAAATACGGGAGAGATGCTGCTGTACTCCAGCCACGAAGAGGGAAATGCTGCACACACTCAGGGAGTCGCTCTAAAGCTGTCCAAAGAAGCATGAAATGCACTCGCAGGATGGGAATCTCACGCATCCAGAATCATCAAAGCATCATTCAAAACAAAGAAGGAGGAGATAACAATGGATATTATCCAATGCTATGTACCCACCAATAATAGCAACGACGACATTAAAGATCAATTCTATGAGAGGCTACAGTCAATCATAGAGAAATGCCCAAGAAAGGACCTCACCATTCTGATGGGAGATCTAAATTCCAAAGTTGGAATAGACAACACCGGATATGAAGATATCATGGGACGACATGGACTGGGAGAGAGAAACGAAAATGGGGAAAGATTTGTAAATCTGTGTGCATTCAACAGATCGGTCATAGGAGGCACAATATTTCCACACAAACGTATACACAAGGCTACATGGATCTCACCGGACCATACCACAGAAAACCAAATAGATCATATTTGCATCAACAAAAAATTCCGAAGGACAATGGAAGATGTGAGAACCAAACGAGGAGCTGACATAGCTTCAGATCACCACCTAGTTGTGGCCAATTTAAAAATGAAGCTAGAGAAGAACTGGACAACTGAACAAACAGCACTACAAAGGTTCAATACAGCCTTCCTTCGAGATACTGACAAACTCAATGAATTCAAGATAACTCTCAACAACAGGTCCCAAGCCTTACAGAATCTACTGAAGGAAGAAGAAACTACTATGGAGGACAACTGGAAAGGTATCAAAGAAGCATTAACTTCAACGTGTCAAGAGGTTGAGGGCCTCGAGAAGCATCATCATAAGGAATGGATCTCTATAGAAACACTGGACAAGATCAAAGAAAGGAAGAACAAGAAGACAGCAACTAACAACAGCCGAACACGAGCAGAGAAAGTCAAAGCACAAGCTGAATACATAGAAGTAAACAAGCAAGAGAAGAAGAGCATTAGAGCCGACAAGAAGAAATACGTGGAAGAACTAGCAACGACAGCGGAACAAGCTGCAAGAGAAAGAAATATGAAACAGCTTTACGTTACAACGAAGGAACTAGCAGGGAAATATAGTAAACCAGAGAGACCGGTCAAAGACAAAGAAGGCAGGCCAATCAGTGAAACTCAACAACAACGGAACAGATGGGTAGAACTCCTGAAAAGACCGTCTCCAACGAATCCACCGGACATCGAAGCAGCACACACAGATCTTTCTATAGATGTCAGTCTACCAACGACGGAAGAAACCAGAATGGCCATCAAACAGATCAAGAGCGGAAAAGCAGCAGGACCCGACAATATACCAGCTGAAGCACTGAAGTCAGACATCGAAGTAACTACAAACATGCTTCACCTTTTATTCCAAAAGATTTGTGAGGAGAAACAAAGGCCGATGGACTGGAAAGAAGGACACCTCATCAAGATTCCAAAGAAAGGAGATCTGAGCGAATGTGAAAACTACAGTGCAAAGTCGTGCATGGAGGACAGCTGACAGATGCATTCCAAGTAAGGACCGGAGTCAGACAAGGCTAGAATGATAACGATTTTCAGTATTAAATACGTACGAGTAAGTATATGTTACGTCATTTAAAGATGGATGTGGATAGCAAAAAAAGGTGAGATCGTAATCACTTAGAATACGAAAATTGACTAAATGGATTGCACAATAATTTTAGGAGATATAGGGAGTTTACATAAATTTGAGTACTGAGTGAATGAATATCATAGATGAAGAAAAAGTTAATTCTAAATTAGATGTAGTCTCAGTTAGCTAATCGAAGATTGCATAACACAAAATGATAATAATAATAACGACAAAAACTGCCAGTGTAGTAGCTGCTTACTCAACAGTAGGGACAAATATTCAGCGGAGTTTTACATTTTTTATCACTGCCTTCCTAAATCCATAATTTTGATTGGATTACCTCCAGTTATCATCATTATTATGGTTATTATTATATTGTGTTATGCAATCTTCGCTTAGCTGTGTTATGTCCTATGGCCAGTCAAATATCATGTGACGAAAACGCCAATCAGAACACCAACTTCGATGACCTTGTCCCTGTGCTAAATCAATGATGCATTAACCAACTCTGAGTCCTTATTGGTCCCCTGTATATTAACTTCTCTCCTAGACCGGCCCGTTCAGTCCAGAATACGATCTCAACCCCCGCTGTATGAATCGTATATTACAGATATACTTGGTTTATACACCAGCAGACCGGAGTGTATCACACCACAAAATGAAAAATAATAATTATACAAGATCAAGTCAAGAGTGGCTGTGAGTGTGTGATATTGTAACTGATAAATTGGGAATAAGTTAAGAATGACAAATCGTATTGCAGCAGCCAATAGGTTAAATGAAAATTTATGATAAAAGGAATATGATTATATATATAATCCAGTTACTTCATAATTATGCAATAACAATATATGTAATAATAGTCCATAAATAATTCTTAGCAGTTATCAATCATTTATTATTCGACCGGACATAATACTAATATTCAGTATTTAATAGTAATACGTTAGATTCCAGTAAGAATGAGGTTATAAGTAACTGATGTGAGAAATCATAATTTTATTGAATTTGTGTACATTTTTTCAAAATCCCGTCTCACTACTTTGATGTAGTGTGACAACTAGGTCAAATATTTGTGAAGTATGGTCAAATTGCGGACAATCATTTAAAACTAAGGAGCATTGGATAACTGCTCTATTATAAGTGTAAGAATCCATGAATTAATCGTAATTGAAAGAGTGAGGTACAAAGTTTCAACTTAACAGAGTGAAAGATAACGTACTCGTCGAGAAGTTTAAACTTTTCGAAGTCTCAGTCTCTAATAGGATCTTGTTTTAGGTAAATGGACTGATGGAAGTTCTATACGAAAGCGAAACATTTATCCATTGTTTTCTGGTTTTATGCGGCTGCCTAATTAAAATCAGTCTATGGTGTAAACTATAATATTTTATCGACAATGAATCAGTATTAATAACGAATATTTGATAAGATTACAAACAAATAGTAGAAAATACCGACAGAAAGAAAGACAAAATATGAGACAAATATTCACATTATGAAACTTTGCGTCTATGTGTAACTTTTAAAGCTATTCCTTTATGTGCGTCTTTCTCTAGTATAAAAAAAGACACAATTCATGTGTGTTAAGTAAGCAAAGTACTTGGTCGAATGAGTTTACACTTCTAAAATAATATCTAGAAACTGAATATTTACAAATTCCTAATTGTGATAGATGTAAGATTTTTTTCTTAGTTATGTTACAGAGTTATTGATCTGATGTATACACTGGTCATTGAATTATTAGGGTGACACATTTTTAGCTGTTGTACTGTAAACTATATAATTTAATATTAAAATATAAAATGATATATAGAATATTTTTACAGGACAGTAGTCTTGAGTACTGTTAGAGGTATGATGGTGATTATCACTTCCCGGTTGCCCACACTGTGGAAGAGTTTTTTCTAGAGGTACCTCTGTACAGTAAGCAGGATGACTTCGCCCTCGGACCTTGGATTTTTTGCTTTTAGTCTTACAGCTCTTCAACCGACTTTCCTGGCATGGTAGGACCTTGAGGAACGATTTTCCAGCCAATATAGCTTGACTGGTTCATTACGATAAGCAAGCCTGACAACCAAGTCAAGGTAGCAACAACAGTCGGGTGTTACAAGACATTTAAAACAAACAATAATAAAGCAATGATTTACTGATGGGAAGAAGAAAAAAATCCTTACTCATTTAGGATATATCAACCTTATGAAACTTGTGCTATTTTACTATAACTCCAATGACAGAAACACATCATAAGATATTTGATAAATACTTAGTACGTTGGGTAACAGTGAAAAGGTAGATCAATATTTATGATCTTCGATCTTTAGTTACTAAGTTGGACGTTTGTTATAAGAACTAGTGATCTAAAAATTTAAATTTAGTTTGTTAGCATTCAGAGAATAGATGTCAGTCAATATAATCCTATTATCCTACAATCTAACTGATAGTGGGAGATAAACTTCTGATAACCGATCACTACTGAATGGTCTTTACAAGCTATAGATAAATCTTTTCGTTTATTTACTTATTTAAACACATAAACATTGGTACAAAGGGGTACCAAAATATATATGCGCCAAAAAAGTAGTTATCACTTAATTTGCGTGTGGGCTAGGATACTGTCCGAGTGCCCAAACCGAAGTAGGTGGTTTTTTTAGAGAGCCACTCCCCAGAGTCTTTGATCCAGAGGTCTATTCCACAAGACAGTGGAGCAACATTAGGAGATGAGGTCTCAGGGCAGCCGGTGACCAACAATAAGTTCATACGCCATTTATCCCCTGCTGAACCTGGAGCCAATATGTAGAATTGGTTTGCAATCAGGGTTTTCCAACTCCCCTAGGTTGATCTTCTGTGCCCACCAACTCTGTTAAAGCGCCGCATATTCGCTTTCCATCCTCTCGATTTCGTAAACAACACCCCTGACACAAGAAGGTAATGAGTAGGAATCCCCTGGCAGTGGCTATATACGCGTAGCCATAAACGAACATTTCGAGAGGAGAGTGGATTCTCACCACCCTCTGTCAACCATGGGGTCTGGGACTAATCTTCTTCTCAGTTGTTCGTGTCTGTCACTGACCTGCCTGTAAGTTTACTACAATTGGATAGTTTTCAAATCAGCTAACCATTTCCATTTCTGTTGTTGTGAAACTTAGTGAATGAAATATGAAGCTTCGAGAAGACAACATATGTAATGATGCAGACAAAAATCCAAAATAAACAAACAATGAATAGAATACTTACGGTTGTTTTCAGAAACTATGAACCGGAATATACTAGCACCTGTGACAAAAGCTAAATTAAGACAATCTGTTTAGGTTACACAGATGGCAATAAAGACCGATCAATTGAGGTCCTGAATTTCAATAATGGGATATCACAGATCATTACCAAAAACATCATACCCGTTGAACAAGTTAATGGCCATATAGATTCAGTAGCTCAGTTACTCAGTCATATACAAAGTAGGACTTAGTAAATTTGTCGATCATTTTGAGTTGCCATCATGATGAAACTGTCAAAACAAATCCTGGTGTAAGAAGTCAATCAATCGGCAGGAGGGAAATATATTAGTAGTGAAAAGTTACAAGGTATTTACATAATAGTCTTCAATTTCCCATATGCATCTTTCAGTGTGTTTTTGCCATCTGAGCTGCCTTGTCGTCTGACCTCCAGGTGTTCTGCCAAAGCTCAGCTTCTGGCGTACTGAAACTCTTTACTGTGCTTGACAATTGCTACAAACTTGATGCCACGTTCCACCGTATACTACTTACAAACAATCCTGTGAGTAGCGTCCACTACACCAGTAACTTATTGGATAATCCATCAGTGTTTATAGTAATAAGAACTGAGTATAAGTTCAGGTGTGAATATTAACATTGGGACCTAGATACATCCAGTTAACAAGTCCAAGAATAGAATGAAACGAGTGTTCTGAATTCCACTACAAGCCGTAAACAATTCGTTCTATCGAACTTATGCAAAACTTGTATCTAATCAATATCTACACTATACACATATACCAAAGTTAATTGATCAAATTTCAATTCTGAATATTAAAAAAAGGAATCAGGAAGAAGCGCTAGAGAAAAGCATCCAACTGCGTCACAAGGCAAGCCCTCACTTGGAATCCCCAAGGCCAAAAGAAAAGAGGAAGACCAAACAACACATTACGCCAACAAATGGAGACAGACATGAGATTAATGAACAACAATTGGATAGAACTAGAAAGGAAGGCCCATCAACAGAGTGGGTTGGAGAATGCTGGTCGGCAGCGTATGCTCCATTAGGAGTAACAGGCATAAGCAAAGTAAAGTAAAGATTTAAACCATTACTAGTAATGAAATAAATTTGATCTAAAATTTGAATTAGTGTATCAAGTTCACACATTGTAAGTAGATCACAGATAATCGTCATGATATCAATGTAAAATTTAAGTCGATTATTAAACATAGCAACTATGTACAAAATCATATCTTATTTATTTATTTATTTTAACACATAGATATCGGTACAAGGAGGCACCAAATACATATGCGCCACACAAATCTCATTCGATATGTGTGAGGGCTGTGATACTACCCGGGTGCCCAAACCGAACCAGGTGGTTTTCTTAAGGGGCCACACCCGGAGCCTCCAACCTGAAGGTCTGATCCACAAGGCAGTGGAGTATCGTAAGGAGATGCAGTCCCGTGGAAGCCGGTGACCAACGATTGGTTCATACGCCATTTCTTCGTTTAGGATACTGGAGCTCATGTGCACCATTGGTTTGGAATCCAGTTAAAGCGCCGGACATTCACTTTTCGTCCTCTCATTTTCGTAAACAACACCCCCGGCAGTGAGTAGGACTTTCCTGGTAGATGCATTATACGCGTGGCCATGTGAGAGCTTTTCGAGAAGGAAAGCGGACTCTCCCCACTCTTGACCGTACCAGGGCATTTGGGGGCCATAAATCATATCATACATATAAAAAGTAAATGAATTATTAACTTTGAACAAATCAATTACATTTGTTTATGTTATACATAAATATAATACTCACTAGAAGAACTATGAGAAGAATTATCATTATTTTGTGAATTGTTTAAAATAGAAGTTGGTGAACATTTTGAAATGTTTGTTGAATTCATTTTAGATTTCTCTTTAGATCTTGAAGTATTTAAAGACTTATCTGATGTTATTTTTGATTTCATAGAATAATTATTTGCTTTACGATTATTATTATTATTATTTGAAACTTCATTAGATTTTTCCTTTTCTTTAAGATTTGTATTCATTTGAGACCAAATAGGATCTGAAAGTTAAAAGAGTAAAATACAAACAGTAATAATAATATGTAAGAAAGTTGTTGCTAACAAAACACCAAATCTATTTAAAAATATAATCGATCATACGAATCTTGTTTAAGTTATATAGTTATCAACAATCCTCATCATCTACAAATGTATGTGTATGTATAAACGTGCAAACATTGAACGTTTCATCCAAGGAGTTGAAACTTGAAGTAAATGGTAATTCATTTGTTAATTAATGCAACTTTATGTACTCAGGGCTTTCATGTACACTTCTTTAATTGTGTAACGATTAGTGGATATTATCCAGTTGTGGTGTGTGATATTGATGTCCATAGATATAAGTAGTATGTATCACCAACAGAAAATGAAATACCTGATGATAGTAGGTTAAGAAGATCAAAGAAAAGAGAACGAGAACAGTGAGTGATTGGTGTGAAAACGAAGGAACAATCAATTCTGAGACAATTGATTGACATTTTGTAAATGAAGGATTTACTGTATGGCTCTCAGATTTTACAACGATATTCTGTAATTTTATATTCAAATATGTTTGGTTGTCCTCCATTGCTGTTCTCGTTCACTATACAGTCACTAAAACCAAGGTAAGTAGCGAGCTAAATTCGGATTTTTAATTTATTGGTGGTAATTTAGAAAAATTGAACCATCGCTTTTACATGAAGTTCGAATACAGACAATTCCATAGGGATAAATGTGACTGACTAGTCAGCTAAATGAATAACAACTTACTCTTTGCAATAGTGAATTACAAGGGGAACAATAAGTAAATAAGTAACAATTAAACTGGACAACTAAATTGTACGAAATTTAACTTGGCATTTTTAATCAGGAATCAATTGGTGAAATCAACAGAAAACAGTGTGAAATTCAATTAATATTTTAGATAAACTGTAATTACTAATGCCACTATGCAATAAACAAACTCAATAGATATACGCTTAGAAAAAAGCTGTTAGTTAGTTATAATCAAACTAGGACCTTGGATCAATACGAGTTATCCCAAGTTACTATACCAAATCAACATAACGAAATGAAATTAACGTAATGAATAGCAGTATTTATAATAAGAAAGACTACAGGTTTAGAATATGACACAAGAAGGTTGAATGAAAAAATATATGTAAATGAACACCGGACTTCAAGAGCTGGAGGGTGAGTCCATTCGAGCAACTGTGACCCAGCTCACCCAATGTCTACAGTCATTAGCCATCAGAATAGCGTGGACACTAAACGGGTGGTTTACACCTACCGACATGGCTCAATCTAACAGTCAATGACTTCATGGATTGATGCCACATCTTGATTTGGCAGCTCCTAGCTTTCTTTTAACTTGCTTCCACTTCGTACAACATTCCACATCAAGATAGACGATGTTTAGGGATACATAATACATGGTCTAACCACCTCAGCCGGTGAACATTAACAGCTCATCAACCGATTCGCTATCATTTCTGAGTATCATATACCTAACGTCAACATAGATCACTGGACAATTTCACGGTACGCTAGCAATGGTTCGGAGATATCTATGATCAAAAACTTGCAGTCTACATTGCAAGGCTGATGAGATTTGTTATCTTGTACCATATGAACCTAATTATACTGTTCACATTCCATAAGGCATTTAGACTGTTATCTATCGATAAGTCATCACAACAACTTGCTGTGCTGTCCAGATATCATCCTCTTACTGAGAGGCGGAAAAAGACTTTTATTCATTAAAGATTTTAGGCAGAGCAAGTCCAAATAACTTACTGTCCAATAACTGAATCCTTTATTTATCTTTTCTTATTGAAGATTAATTCATTTCTTACATCCTGTGTCGACTTTTTTTAAATTTTATGTCTTTGTGTTGGATTTTAAATGGATTCCATTTAAGAAATGTGAGCATCTCATTATCATACAGAAAACGAGCACGTGGATTGAGTACGTATCGATCCCAGTTGGCATACATCAAATTAGAGCAGCGAGAGAGAAAATCAACAAAATGAGTTAGCAACGTATGAGAAATTCAGTCTCCTTTTACATTTCTCCACAGTATTATCGCCTTATTCTTCGTGACTCATTCTTTCAGTACCTTATTGTTCTTGAATCCTTGTGTATTATGGGTAAATCAACGTCTTCAATCACAAACGACAAATATTGCGTGCAACTAACCAAGAGACTCGCACCTACCAACAGTTAATAGTGTTTTCACAGGTTGAGATCATGAGTCAGTTGAAGCTAGACCACCATTGAAAACCTGGAAGCACTGGACGGCCGTTTCGTCCTGGTATGGGACTCCTCAGCAGTGCGCATCCACGAAACGGCCGTCCAGTGCTTCCAGGATTTCCATGGTGGTCTAGTTTCAATTGGCTCATGATTTCAACTTGTGAAATTTCTAAAAATCTCCACAAAACCCATTCTGAAAATAATAATCACCTGCTCACTAGTGACTGACTTCAGGAGACACTCTTGGAGTTCTAGTGAGAAGTCGTTACAAGTGGAGTTCAACCAGGTCTGTTGTGAGATAGGAACTCACTGAAGACAATGGTGTACGGTGGCGCAACTTCGTGGATTGATTGAAGTTAGACATTAACACCGTTGGATGCCGGCTCAGTGGTCTAGTGGTTAAATGCTCGCGCGCGAAGCCAGTAGGTCCTGGGTTCGAGACCTGCGTGATGCGGGATCGTGGATGCGCGCTGCTGAGGAGTCTCATACCAGGACGAAACGGCCGTCCAGTGCTCCCAGGTTTTCAATGGTGGTCTAGCTTCAACTGACTCATGATTTCAACCTGTGAAAATTTCTAAAACTCTCCACAAAACCCATTCAGTTAATAGTGTCATGGACCGATGACATGTCTTGATTTTTCTACCTGCAGATTTTTTTCAACTTATTCCTGTCAGGTAGCACTGTATATCTGAAAAGTGACTAGGTATGCATGACACATATTTTAACTATCTAGGTCGATAAAAGCTTGTAGTTTCATCCATCGACTAGCCATTTCAACCTATTACTTTACGACTAACTTCACCATTGCCCATTTAATGGGTGCACATTAAACGAACAATGGTTTAAAGACAATTAGGATCAGATAATTTCAGCCTATACATACGTTCTGTTATAATAGGTCATACAGAGAGAACTGCTGAGCAGTATGCTCACTCTTTGGTAGAAAGCAAACATCTTAACTGTACTACAGCCGGCACATACAAAAACCAACACCACACCAAAATACAACAGACATTTACGTAGTTAGGTGAAATTAAAATATAAACAGTATGCCATATATATTAGATTAACTAATAATAACGCAATGAATCAATGATTTGAATCAGATCACAGTATTTATTTTTATGGAAACTAAAAGGAACCTATATCAACATGACTGATTGAAATAAGGTATTATCAGACAAAATGCAAATGTAGTACAAACATTTCACTGAATAACAATATACATACTTTGTTCAACGCATACAAAATCAGTGTCAGAAACATTGTTATCATTTGTAATACCACCATTATTACCCATGTTTGGTTGATGAGCATCGTCCATAACAGCGGAGAGGCTAGCAGATTGTTGTATTAAGGATAAACGATAGAAATAATTTCTCCAAAATATCTCTTCACTAATTCTATATGACAAAAATGGAAGGTAATAGTATATTAAATTGGTTTACAAAAATTATGAAGCATAAAAATGAAGAAATATTACCGTTGACTTTTTTTAAAATTAAGAATTCCCATACTGTCCCCTTCTTCCTTTACCCTAACCTATTTACGTAGAATGTAATAGGTAGAAAAATTTGGTTCCATTTGAGAACTAATCATAATGACACAAAGAAAACTGGTAGGGGAGATTGGTAGAAACTCCCTTACTGATAATCGAGAAATTTCATAGAGGTTAAAATTCAAGGATTCAATTTGGTTTGTGTACATTTTTTGTGCATAATATTGGAAGCAGTGATTCTGTTAGCATAGAGATTTTAATGATAAAATCATCCACACATACATATAATTGATGTTTATAGAGTTGCATAGTTAATAGGATAGTTCTCTCATTTTTTGGTGAACTGTTATGGTTCAGGACTGTGAAACATTTATCTTCAACCTCGTTAACTGTATATGTATTAAAGAATTCAAGTAGTTATCTAATTATCGCGGTAATTTAAACAGTTAGTCACTGGGAAAAAGTCGTTCGATAGGCAGACGATATTTGGAACAAGTTTTTGAACTATCGCTACCTTCAAAGTATCGGTTACGTTTATTGTTGGGGAACCGAGTCAATCAACATCATGATCATATCATTTTGGCACAAACAGAAAAACACTTCATACCTGATGGTTAAGTATAGTCCCTCCTCATTTCTGTGTAACGTTTGCCACAGGTAAGATGGAAATGACGTCTAGTCTTTGAACATGTATTTGGATCATTTATTTACTTACGATTGGGGTTGAGTAGCATAACATTGTAAGAATAATCTCGATAAAATACAAATTCCCAAAATAACTTATTAAAAAAGATATGGCTCACTAATATAAATTACGCAAGTTTGTGTAAAAGCATTGTATAATAATTTAATTCATTCATTATATAGAGATTCAAGTACTCCGGCCCGAGACCAACTATGAACTAGTGACATTACCTAGACTGTCTAAACTGAAGTATATATAGATTAAGGTTTGAATCTAAAATATATGGCTTGACAGTCAGGTGCATTAACCAATAAACTACATAGTTACATCAACTGGTTGACAGAAACAAATTAATGTGGAAACAAAAAAATAGCAAAATCTATTGACTATGATCATAACATGAGTCTTTTTGTGGAATACTTCTTAATAATCTCAGTAAAGCAACGAAACGGAGAAATCAGAAACACACTAAGTGAGCCTTCTTATTCATATTACTATATAAAGCTAACAAGAGATAATTTGGATCAAGTTCATCTCCTTTGTGTAACACAATTACTAATAAATTAGAACCTATATTTTTTAGATAGTCAGTAACGTGTTAGACCATGATAAGTGATTTGGAAAGGTTAACTTCTAGATCAATAATATGCACAACTTACTTGCTAGGGACAAGTCGATACCTTATAGAACCTAAATTAGGATCTTCTTTTAAAAGGATTTGAGCTTCACGTAATAAATTGTCAGGTATTGGTGATGTCCATTCGAGCTGAGCTTCTTCAGGAGGAGAAATAAGAAAGTTATTTGGATTTTGACTTAAAGCTAGGATTTGTTCTTTCAGTGAAGATAAGGCATCACAATCACTTAATCCGCATATATCGGGATGCCATGGTGGAAGTTCAGATTGAGATGATGAACGAAAACGAACTGCTTCTTCATTCTTATTTTGAGACGTTACAGCAAAGTCAGCTTGAGCTTTTTCAAACTCACGTATGAGTGGGACCTCGTAGATATAGAAAGATAGGAATTTTACTGAGTTTATAGACAGTAATAGTTCAACAATTTTGAAAAAAGCCTAATATAAACTGAAATAGCATAAAATTTGATGATTTAAGATTATTCACTTACAAACGAAAAAAAAAACAAGTCAACTACTTGTGGATGGGATAATATTATAAGGAAGTCAATATAACTGATTGGGTCCCAGTTGACAATCGACTACAAACTGGAGAGCTAGTCATAATAAAACGTGAAGCATAAAATATGCTAATATATGCACGTCGACTGAAAGAATTTTGAAGGGTGAATTCTGTCGAAGGTCGAAGTGTAAAGCGCACAAATGAAGTCATACTGTAGTGAACAAGAACACGGGTGGGGACAATCGATTGTATTTAGCACAAAGATTACAGACTATCTCAATAAAATGTGAATACCATAAAGTCAATCGTCAATTTGCAAAATATCATTCCATCATATGAAACTGTACTGTTCCCGTTGCAAACACTAATCCATTGTCTCCCATTCCATTGTACATGCGTTTTCTTACAATTCCATTCTGCTCTTGCTCTTCCTTTCTTGATCTTCGCCATCTTCTGCTGCCGGACATTACGTTCTCTTAACGCACGTTATATACTACTTATATGAATATAAGTAGCTCACACCACAATACTATCTATTGACTTCGGCGAGAATACAAAGAGACCAAAGTAGGAGAAATAAAATATGGTGGAGAGAGCCTTAATATTCTGTATCGATGAGTCAATAGCTACGATTGCTTTCTGGAATCTTGTTTCGACCGTCTGCCAACCAATAATAAATAAAGATGATGTATACGATATGTCGGACAAGAACTAAGTTTAACAGGTTTTAATCTTATCGGTACTTGAGTAACCTACAAAATCGGTATCTCCCAATCGCTTGCGTTTTAAATAACTTCTAATCATGGATATTTTTGTGTTTAAGGTTCTTCACATAAGTAAGTCCTCTCATTAAATAAAAGAAAGCCTATTCTACTTGGCACGTCTTATTTTCTAATATTTGTTTATCTGTATGCTCACGTCAACAACTTAGTCTCGTGAGCCGTTGTCACTTGGTTACGTTGCATCGTTGCACTGGATCTATTGATTAGCGTTGAATACATACATCTTACTGATCTAAAAACTCAAATCACTGATCCGTAATTCTCAATGGTCTAGCTTAGCAATCGTTGATAAAAAATTAACACAAACAAACTATATCGTTATTGATCATCGTCAAAATATTTCTGCTCACATGAAAAACACTTGCAGAATTTCAATCATGAACGAGTTAATAAATCTGTGTCTGAATAGATGAGAATAACACTTTGGTCGTTTTAAGCACAAATGTGTTTATGCAGGGAAAATTAGGTGGACTGAAAATATGTGTAAAGTAATTCAAAGTTGACCTGACCTGATGTTATGAGGGAAAGAATGAAGACGAAATGACGAACTATGAAAGGTACTTTCCGGGACGTTAATTCACTCAATTCCTAATCTACGTGTGCGACTTTCTTACTTCCTTTATCATAGATTTTCTTTTACTCTATGAACTGTTATCTTCTATGATTCAAAATTTGGAATTTAAACGCGAGCTTTTTATCATATTCTTCTACCTTAAAAGCCCTATTTTGGCATATATTGCATCGTTCCGCTTATTACAACCTATGGTCCAAACACTCATATATTTGGTTATGTACTTTTTCTATACAGAAAGTATTCAAACATAAAGGGTTTTCTGCTACAGTCGTCTTCTCTCTTCTCTTGCCAACTACTTAGTGTCGACGTAGCAGATCATTAGTCACCGAACAGAGTAGTTCTTTGCTCCCAAGGTTAATCACTCGCAAGTCGAACCCATGTATTTGCAGTCTCAGTCATATTAAAAGCTTAGAATATCAGGGTTATTAACTAGTCCTAAAAAACCTCCTTTTATATCTAACTACAAAACAGGTAGCTAGACCAAGAGCATAACACCTGATGAAGTAATTTGTCTATTGGATAGGTGGCAAATCCCTTCGTTTCAGCTTCAATTTACAGAAAAGGTTTTATCTTCTGATTCTGAAGGTCTGATAAGATAGTAACAAAGTAACAGCTAGACTGATGTACTTTCTGCAAAAGAAAATGGGGAAATCATTCTAAAGACTGATCATCTTAGTTTCCAGAGATCTGGGATTCGAAAATAACAAACGATTGCTAACTAGAGGATGTTCAAGCGCAGATGAGCGTATTGGTCAGGTATCCTGAAGTGACGAGGAAATTACATTTAAGACAGCACTTATATTTGTCGACTGCATAACTCCAAAACTTTTAGCATAAACAGAATGTCGAACAAATATACTGTTACCTGGGAAATTTTGTTTAGACATACAATTGTTAAGAACTATTTCCTTGCACTTATTAGAAAGGATTATTTAGGAGTGGTCTGCAATGATACCTAAACTAAGGGTGTAAAACTAAACAGTCGAATACATAAACCACCCTCTCAAAGTTATATCAAACACAATAAGATGGTCATCAACAAAATTTTGATTGGGATGAAGTAAGCTAAACATTTGCCACCGTTTTGACTATATTTGTATATACCGTTTATTTATTTGAACACAAATATTGGTACAAAGGGGCACCGAATACGTATGCGCCATACAAGTCACTTGATTTGTGTGTGAGTTGTGATGCTGCCCGGGTGCCCAAACAAAAACAGATGGTTTTCTTGGAAGACCACTCACCGAGCCCTTGACCTAGAGGTCTAAGTAGTAACATCAGACTCAAATACATGGTGCGAACCTTCTACACTCAACCGAAGCTGACATTTCATGATTTTCGAGAATGGTCCTCCTTAGCGTGCTGTCTGCATGATGAACCAATTTCGATGAGTTGCCTCCAAAACGTTTCCAGACGTGAATATAACTAGGATCGAATTAAAAATTAACTCTTCCGTGTCACAGAAAATACCGTTTAGTCCTTTTTCATACTTTTAAAACTAGCAGTAATATTAAGTACAGCAGCAAAGCTGACTTTATTCGATCGTTTAAGAAAACGACTGATTCCTTTGTAAACGAATTATGCGTTAGAATTGGTAGAGCTGAAAGGGGAATATGATGGGATTAAAATACAAGTTGATTGTAAAAGGAAACTAGTGAACGTAAGTTACGTCGTAAGATAACTACACAGATAGGAGGTATACTTAGTGAGGAGAGCATGATTTATGCGAACAAAGAAAGTGAAAACTATACACACATTGAATTCGTTGGACTGTGATCAGTTTAGTTTTGAGCTTGACGCGAATGAACATCTGGCTGAAGATAATGTTGCTCAAAAATCAGCCAACCGATTTTTAAGACTTGGTGATACCATTAATAATAATAATAATAATAATAATAATAATAATAATAATAATAATAATAATAATAATAATAATAATAATATAGACACGAAGTCAAACACAGTAACACTCCTGATGTATCTTTTTTTAGGTCAATCTAATTAATTGATAGTGAGAAAGTCAACGCTTATGGTAGTGCAATCTGCTGTTCAACTACCACAAGTATTAAGTCCTGAAGGATCTTATAAATATGTAATTTAATAGGCTACAACTGATGTTGAAACCAATGCGACTAAAATTGCTACTACAAATATAAAGGATAGTAAATTTCCTCTGAGACTAAAGTGGTACTTGATTACAAACAAGATTATGTAGTTATTGTGACTGTCGCTTATGTGGCTGATGTCAAAAGAATGCAATCATTGACCAGAGCTAATAGTCTTGATAGTGATATTGAAAAAGCTTAAGGATGTAGCAATATGGGTAGTATGATTGCTCAGCTAAGGATTTGAATAAAACTGGTGTTGACTTTGAGTAGAGATTAGGATCAAAGCGTGGAAACTAGAAATGCAGTAGTCTATTCTTATGGTGTAATAGTTTCTATAATTGCACTTGATAAGGGACAATTTTTGTTAAAGGTCGATGGTCGTATTAACTACCATATACTTGAGGGTATTAAAAAGTATATACAACACAGTGGTGATGCTGATTCTTTAAATAGTCCGATCGTGTGGCTGACTATATTCACAGAATTGAGGTTGAGGAGGATAAGAGTTCCCCGCACTTTGGAATGGACTGGACTACAGTTACTTAACAAAGGAAAATACGACTTCCCTACTCGATAATCATCCTCATTGAGTTTGTAGTGTAGAATAATGACATAATCTAAAAGATTAGTGTTCTCCACTTGGATATGTGGCTCACAAACGTTGTTCAGTTTACTATAATCCAAGTGAGAAACAGGATTTCCTTGAGTCTCGTCATACTGTTGAAATTTCAGACTGTAACTCGTGAACACATACTCAGATTACCCTCGATACAGGTGTTAGACATACATCTTGCTGAATTAAAGGTCGAACTGAGTACTGAACAAAGAAAAACTAATTATTTACATCGAATAAAGCACTTTGGTAAATGCTGGTGAATAATCAGTCGGAGACATACGTACAAATGAACGAAAAACAGAAACGATGTAAAAGAAGACTTTAAGAAATCCTAACCTGTTTGACAGAAGCTGTTACATTATTTACAACTGATTTGATTTCGGTTAAATCTATTCGATCACTAAGTTTCTTAACTGCTTCCTCACTGGACTTCACGGCTTTTGAAAATAAATAACCTAAGACAGAGATTCAGGAATACCACAGAAAACTTACTTCCCCATTCTTTTGCAGCAAAAAGTTTGTCTGATATTTCCTTCTGAATATCTTTTTCAACTGAATCACAGACTTCGGCATCGGACATAACGTAACGCAGTCATAGAAACAACCGCTGGACTTCACTACAGCTTCACCGACATTTCTATTAAAATACATTGTAAAAACCTTCTCACTATCATCGTTACGAGTCTTTATAAATCAATTGACATTAGACCTTAACAATACAATCCTCAAAGCTGAACTCCAGACAACTGAGAAATCAGACATTCAACATTTAACGCGAAGAGAAACCCAACGATAGAAATGGCGAGAAGAATTTATTCAATTAGCTCGAGTTAATTGAATGGCATCTCTCGGCCTTGCAGGTGTGGTCCTACTTATATAACAGTTTTTTATCTATATTAAATATATTGTTTTGTCTCCAGCCTAAATGTGTTCCTCACGATATATTGATCATTGTTACAATACATATGAGTCATGGAAGATAGTAATGTGACACCCACATAAAGTCTCGTGGGTTAGATAGTTACATCATGACAAATGTACATTTTAGGACTAAGTCTATTGTTAGAGTAGTACCAATATCATAGTAGGCGATAATCCAACAGATTTCTATGCAATCGCTTCTTGTCGTCTAGGTACATTTCTAGGTATTTGGTGATGTCCAAATGTGGTAGTCTGATCGCTCAATTGCGCTCATTCCGATGAGCCTGGTAGTTATTTCAAGATTTGTATATCTTGTATTTTAAGCGAGTGCGTTTGTCTCAGGAGATTATGGGTCCTGCATGCCAGCAGTGATCACGTTACTAAGTAGGAAGTTGTTTGCGTAGCGGTAAATAAATACTCAGAACTGGATAGTTCTTTAAGTCTTTGGCATTTGACGCTGACCTCATTAATTTGAATGGACACGTCCAACTGAACGCGCTCGGTCACGCATAAGTATGTAGTGCTACACATCTCCTACAACCGTTTGCCAGCTTAAATTAAACGCCTTTCGAGATGGAGATAGCCTTTCAAACATAACTTCGAAACTCTTCACTTCTGACTTCTGATTTAACTGGGTTGACCTACTTCGATTATAAAGGTTTGACTGGTAAATGCGTTGTCAAATTCTGCATACTTGTGTCATCTTTAGTGGATTGCAATGTGAAAATAATAAAGTAATTCGGGTGCTACGAGAAAACAATTTTTCAAGAATAATAAGTTAACTGATTGGCTTATGTTAGATGAAACTGAAAAAATAAGAGGGTAAACGGAGATGATAGTAATAGACACAAAAACGGTTACAGATATTCCATAATGATAACCATCGTAAATCATCAGACATGCATCAGACACAGCTGGTCGATTTTCCATGATATTTTATATGATATAAAGAGTGAATTTTTATATGGCTATATTTATTTATATTTATTATTTTGATAGTATTTGTGTATTAAAATTATTTTTTTTAAAAAACAAAAAAACTTTTTCATAAAAGTCGCTTTTACGCTATCACATTCACATGAGTTTATTTTCGTTTCTTCGCCCACTTTGTGTCTTAAAGCGCGTTCGATTTCATTTCGAAATGCACTTACAGATTCTTTTTTTCCTATTCATGACAGCTGGAAAATACGATAAAAAGAACAATGAGGTTTACGAGGGACCGAAATTTTCATTGCACATTATTTTTCTAACAACATTGTAATTCATAGTCCCTTATAGTAAGGAAACACGAACAGACTCTGATTAACCTAGCAAACTGTCAGAAGACTGGATACCAACGACTAACTCGTTGGGTTCAAACTTCTGGCTGGCCACGTCTTAGGGTCATCACTACCCCACTAGAGGGAGAGTGATATGTAGCGGTAAATAAATCCACAAAATAAGTAGCTCTGTAAGTCTTTGATATTGGATGCTGACCACGTTGGTTTTATTGAACTTACCTAGCTAATAGCGCTCGGTCATACATCTAACCAGACCACAAGTGGGAACGCCGTGGTCAACAACTCCTGAAATCGCTAGCTAGATTATATCAGACGATCCTAGATATATTAATAGCCTATCAAATATAACTTAGAACCTTCTCACTTTTGTCTTTTGATTTTCCTTGGTGGGTACGCTTCATATTAGGTGTTACTGGTTAAAGCGTTGTCAAACTCCGAATACCTGTGGCATCTTCAGTATATTTAAATAACTCAAGCCTCTGTATATTCGGTAACTTAGATCTTGCTTAGGAGTAGGATGTCTACTTTCTACTACTTAATTCTGACGAATAGGGTGCCAACTGGAGAGAAAATGCTTCCTAATACATCCACTTTACTGATTTATGAGTGGATGGTAGTAGAATTGTAGAATAAAACAGTTAACATGTGCGTAGGAATACAAAGACTTAGGGGTGATAGCAAGTCACAACTTGAAGACAACTAAACATTGCAATTATCTACACAAACCTTTACTGATAAACATTGCAATGTGGCAGCCGCCAAAGGTTTTCCAGCGTTATGCTCACCTTGCCGAGGATCCTAAAGCTTTGACGAGATGTTTCGAATTTATTATCCCACCTATTCAAGACCAAATTCAAAGTACCGTATTTATGCAGCCGATTCATTTCTTACTAAGGATACCGTGTGTGAACAAAATTAACGGAGAGTCTTCCCCAACCCCTTTACGACAAGAGCTCAAAAGCCTGAACCTTTCCCTTTATCTCATACTAGACGCAATGTGACCTTATATTGGTGTCCTGTATCTTTAATTACGATTTTGATGTTGACATGTCTTATCATTTTGCTTCGTCTAGAAGTAATAATTCTCGAGACCATGGCAAGAAGGTTCAAAAACCGCTATTCATTATACTTGGATTGAGGTTCCGTTTTTCTCATCGAGTGGTCAGTGCCTAGAACGACTTACCCGAACAAGTGGTATCAATCCCATCAATGAACATTTTCAAGGAGAAACTGAACTTCCACTGGTAAACAAAGTGCAAGAGTCAAAACAGGTTAATTAACTTACTATTCCTATTATTGATGATTGATAAGCTGACAGTATTAGGTCGGCTAAATACACTAAAACAGTTATTGCCAAATTGACAAGCGTTAAAAACAAGACTTTGATGAAGATAAGGAGTTACTAAATACTATCGAAACGATTGGAAGGATGATCAAATACATTGCACAAATGTACCAGTTTATTACGAACGTATCGTTTATTTGACAGCGGCTTTTACAAAGTCCGTCCATTACTTGAACAACGTAATCAGCTGTAAGCATGACGTTGAATGATACAGAAGTGCAACGTCAGGTAACCTACTTTGACTATTTGTATTTACCACATAATTAAGATTCGCCACATGATGGCGTTTATAGACCAGGAAGCTCGAGAAAAGGTGGAGGAGATAGATGCCAAAGTTCGTTGATTAATTGTCTAGTGACATTATAAACTTCTGCAGGCCGAAGAAGAGTTCCAAATAGAAAAGTCCCGTTTAGTACAAAATCAGCGGCTCAAAATAATGGAGTACTACTCAAAAAAGGAAAAACAGATAGAACTGACCAAGAAAATGTAGGTTTCCCTCCGTCTTACTATGCTTGTCTTTATTTAGTCAGGATTCTAACTTAAAAAATCAGTCTCGTCTTAAGGTTTTGCAGAGCAGAGAAAATCACATTGAAGTATGTCATGTAAATTACATAGCTTTGGCAGATGTTGCTTAAGGAAGCCCGGGAACGTTTACGGATGGTTACCAGAGATCGGGATGTTTATCAGAAGTGCCTTTCAGGACTTGTCTTAGAGGTAACGTTTGGGCAATCATGTTCCACTGCTTTATATCATTTTCAATTTAAGTGGCTAGCCTGGTCCTCATTACTGCATTTTTGACAAATCTCTAAACTTGTTTTCTGGTGAATAAAATTTAAGGTCTTCCATGCTTGTGGAAAGTCATATTCATGAAGTCACTTTATACAAAAAGCAGTCCAGTATAAAGTCTAGATAAACAGACATGACGTATGTCCTTATTTGTCTATGGTTAGTACGAATTACACGTTGTCATTTGTTAAACTGCCACGATGTTTAAAACCTCGTAATCTGTCGGTAATTTAGTTGTTTCGATCATTCTCGAACTCAGGTGCACGGATTACTGTATAAAACCGAAAGTAGGCAATCGTATTAAACTAAGTATTGGAAGCGGTTAGAAACTCTGTACGAGATTAAAGAATAAAAGGTATGAAAGTGTAGTAAGTTGGTGATCAAGTTCATTGTAATCCTTTGTTTGTCTAGCAGTGTTCAAGTAGATTTTTTGGTGCAACCATTATTACCACTCGTGATAAAAGATCACCAACATACACTCTTTATTTCTTGTAACTTCCTTTACTTGTATGTTATCCCTAGTTAGGGTCACATATTGTGCCTCACTGACAATAATGGTAAGGAAATAATAATCAGTCTTCTTTCATTCTCGGGCTTCAACAGTTTTTGAAGGACATTAAAGAATGATTGAATAAGTATATCAACAATCTTCAAATTTGAATTGATTTAATTTATAAACCAACATAAATAATGCTAATTACGTCACAATTTTTGCACTTGGTCTTACGTGGTATTTCTAATAACGTTATTGATGTCAGCAAATATTGCACGACATGAATACTGAGTACACTAGTCAGTTTTTTTACTAAGCTATGTTAATATACTCGAAAAGGTTTTATTTAATGCTAAAATACCAAACATTACAATAGTATACTGCATTCAAAATCGTTTTCTCATCTTACAAATTTTTCCAGGGGCTTTTCCAGTTACTGGAACCAGAAGTTATTATCAGATGCCGTCAGGTTGACCGTGATTTAACTCAAGTACGTCCTCATTCTTCTAATTGTATTATCCTGTTTTGTGTTGTCAACCCATTTCACAGTGTACACTCTTCATAATAGAAAATGTGAAAATTCCAATTTCAATTTTAGTATAAATATGAATAACGGTTGCTAGTATGTTTAGCATCTTAATTGCTGTCTACTTTGGTGGTAGATTAACACTACAAAATGTGTCTTAATTGATATATGAATTGTGATCATCATTGAGTACTAGAAAAAATATTGGTAATTAAGAAGTTGAATGTGGTATCACCAGTTATTTTACAACGAAAATCATTCTGGAGTTGGACCTCAGGTTATGCCAAAGTTGTGAAGATACCCTTAGATATGTACAAATGTCTGAAGTTGTTTATATTAACTAGGTTAGGTTCTTCATTTTTATTATGTTACGGGGTTAAGACATTTTCAATTTAACAGA